TTAATCTTCTTCTCAGGGTTCCTTACTGCCTCTTTAGCCCTGGATATCAAACCCTAGCCGTCATATCTCCTAGTTGAGCCTTGGAAGGTGCTTTAAAGCTTGGAAAAGGAAGAAGGAACTTGGAGGAGCAAGGAGGAGCTATAGATATGGGATTGTGAGTTCATTTTGAGCACTTGGAGGTAATAAACTAGTTCCTGGACCCTTTTTGCACCTAGATCTATGTGTGGTTGTTGGGGCTCTTTTGCCATAATGTTATTATTTTGGGTTAGAAGCCGGATCTGGAGTTGCTACTTCAGATTCAAGTGTTTTAGGGCCTGGAGAAGCATAAAGTATCAGTCATTGTGTCGATTTTGAAGTCCCTTGGCCTTACACCCTAGTTAATGGCGTATCTTGCCTAGATCTCCTCCTCTACACGTAAAGTTTGCAACTTTACGTAAGGAATAGACCTTAAAAGAGTGGATCTACAGTTTGGAGTCCATGCATGACTCAAAGGTCCTCTGCATGTATGTAGAATCGGATGGACTCGGCGAGTCCTTCGAGTGGACTCGGCGAGTAGCTTGAAGATGAGGAGGAACTCGACGAGTAGGATGAACAACTCGTCGAGTCGGATGAAGTTAGGCATGGACTCGGCGAGTTGGATGAGCAACTCGGCGAGTTGGTTGAAGATTGTCTAGGACTCGGCGAGTCTGTTCTTGGACTCGGCGAGTCAGATCGCGAAAACCCTGAACCCTTCGAGTCGAGACCCGAATCAGTGAGTCGGGTGGTGACTTAGCGAGTTGGACAGGACAGGACTTGGAACTGGTTGGACTCGGCGAGTCATGGACTGACTCGGCAAGTCGGGTCGCGAATAAGAAAGACCTTGAGTCTATGAACTCGGCAAGTCTTTAGGAAGACTCGACGAGTAGGGTTGACCTGGAAGGTTGACTTTGACCAGAGTTGACTTAGTTGACTGTCAGACTAAGTGTTATATGTATATTGATAGCTCGGAGAGCTGGAGGAGCAGCGGATCAGGGGATTGTCGAGTAGCAGCCAGAGATTTATCAGTAGGGTTCAGCAGTCTCAGGTGAGTTACCTTCCAGTAGTGGTGGGCCTAAGGCCACAATGCCGGCCCACCAGTAGGGGACGTATGATAGATGATTGTCTTTGTGATATAATCTAGGTTTGCTATTACCTGTTATGTTATATGCTCTCATGATACGTTATATGCAATAGTAGTAGAGTTCGGTTGATAGGACTGCAGGGTAGTCAGACACCCCAGAAACATCTGACTGTATGTGATGGTATGCTTGTATATTGGCCTGTTATGTTATGCGATAGAGGTAGCGGGAGGGGACCAGTCCCCGAGGATCGGTTGTTAGGACCGATGGGTAGTCAGCACCCCAGAATGGCTTGACATGGGTAGTCAGCACCCCAGAATGGCTTGACACGGGTAGGACGGCACCCCAGAATGGCCGTATGGGTAGGTCGGCACCCCAGAATGGCCGTACCGGGTAGTCAGGCACCCCAGAATAGCCTGGCAGTATTTATGTTATGTGTTTGCATGGTATGTGGTACGTTGGGGGAACTCACTAAGTTTTGTGCTTACGTTTACAGTTTTGTTTTCAGGTACCTCTGCACCGAAGGGGAAGGAGCTGGCGCGGTAGCGGCACGTCATGCACACACTCCGTCTTCCGCATTTACGAGAGTCACTGGGATTGTACTCTGATATTTTGATGGGGTGTATGGTTTGACCTTTTAAAACATGGTAGCGATGTGTTATGGTGTGATCAACAATGTTTCTATTTATTAATGTTTTCTAAAGTAATATTTTAAAATGAAATTTTCGAACGTAAAAATTGGGTCGTTACATTTAGGGTTTAGTGTTTAGGGTTAGGGTTTAGGGTTTAGATTTAGGGTTTAGGGTTTAGATTTAGGGTTTAGGGTTTAGGTTTAGGGTTTAAATTTAGGGTTTAGGGTTTAGGTTTAGGGTTTAGTAATGTTCACTTAGGTGAAGTAATAAACAATAATTGAGGAAAGAAAACAGGGATGGTAAAACGATAATGAAAGAAAGAAATGTTGTGGATGATTATATATTTACCAAGTGAAACCAAACCGGGTATATCTAGCATGTTAAAACGACATATTTTAGAAGTTTAGTACCTAAGCTTAGGTGGGGCTGTAATGTATATTCTCTATCCCCTACATATATATATATATATATATATATATATATATATATATATATATATATATATATATATATATATATATATATAAAAGGTATCCCACCTTAGCTATAGTAAAATGGTAGTTGTTTTGCCTATTTCACCCCTTGGACTTATACTTCTCATTTATTTTATCTTTGGTGTCTTTGTCTTTAGTGCCTTTTTTCATTGTGTCATTTGTAGGTTGGTGTATAGGTGGCCTCACCATTTTATCGACCAATCAGGATTCGATTTTTGGCTTTATCAACAGTTGATAACATGTACGTATTTACATGGTGGATGGTTTCATTCTCTCAAAACGCTTTCCAGCTCCAACCTCTAACGAATACAGACGCCACCATAATCAGAGATGAGGCTAATCGATTGTAGGGTCTGATTTCTGCGTGGAGAAGATTGACCGGACTTCAAAGCACGAAATAGAGACAACGATGGAAGCAAAGTGAAAGTAATAAATAGAGACCTTCTTCTTTTAGACCCTCAATTCAAGGTTTGATTTACATCTCTTTAACCCACTTCCGATGGATCATCGTCACTGAAATTCTCCATTTCTGGGAATTTGAAACCAGATTTGTCTATCCTAATTCATACGCTTCTTTCTCTCTCTCTTGTATTTGTTACTTTAATATAAAGATGAAAGTAATTACAGATTATGTATCAGTGGATGACAGATCTATCAGTGTTATTCTCTTTCCGACGCGACGTTATTCTGTTTCCTTCGGCCACTCCAAACAGGTGGCATTTTCTATACCTTTCTTATGCGCTAAATTGAAGGTGCATTTAAATCAGAAAGGGATTTCACAGTAGATTTGGATTTCCTTAGGGTTCAATACGTTCATTAGGTTATACTCTCCAGGTAGTAGTCTCCCCCTTTAGCGCCTGGTTTGATAAACCTAATCTGTCTGCTCATTGTAGCCCCATCTCACCGATTCTTAGCTCTATCTCATTGATTCTTAATAAAATAATTACCATTTTCAATTTTAAGCTTGAATACATGACTTTTAATGAATCGATGTTTCTTTCGCAAGGGCCAAATTGGAGTGGTCTTTGGGCAATAATTGTTCTCCAGACATTGTTCTCTCATTGGCATTGGACCAAGAACAAAATCAAATTCAGGTTAGATTGAAATCTAGAAAGGGCCATTCCAGTGTTTCCAGAATTCGTTTGTGGGTCATGGTTGTTTTGTTGGCCTCCCGGATCAACAGTCTCATATGTTGAAGGTCATACATAACCTGAAAAAAGAAAAAAAGATATGGCTTTACTAAATGTCGACGTTGACCGTTTGCGTTTACTACTCACTTAGGGGCTTCAGTGAATGAAGTCATTGTGGAAGATGGAACTACAATCGACGTAATTGGTAAGTTTAGCTTTACACCCTTTTTTATATGATTTATGAAATACGAGTCCCAAATGTTGTGAGTTAAGGTTTTTTTTTTTTTTTTTTTTTTTTTTTTTTTTTTTTTTTTTTTTACACAATTAGAATCAAATTTTTTATATCATTTTAGGTGTTGGAAATACGCCTTTACATAATGTTGCGTATGGTAGAAATCCACAACGTTGTCAAGTATGTTCATTTTCTTAGTATTTTTGAATCATATGTGTTTTTTTTTTCTTATTTTTTTAGTTGATATATTGTTGTGTTTTTGTTATGTTATAGATTTTGATAGATATGGGTGTGACTTTAAGCGCTGAAAATGCTAATGGGTATGAGTTTTATGTACCGATTTTGTGTTTTATTTGATGAGTTTATGTCCGTCAATGCCTTTTTTAGTTATACGTTGTGGATCAAAGAACTTGGGTGAGAAAATGTGACAAACCATGGCTAATTAAATGATTAAGCCTTAGTTGTAATCTTTGAAATTTAGTTTTAATCTGAAGCATATATTAATAATGTACTTGAAGCCGATGGTGAAAAAACTCTAAAGGTTACACCTTCAGAGTATAACCGACTATCTCTTCCAGTAATGACCTCGGGTAAACCCACTTATTAAGCGATTAGATGAAGGAAATATTATAATTTATATACAACAATACCCATAAATACCAAATTTTTTGTTAACAAATTGTAATTTAGGCATTTAACAATTTGCCCCTACACAAAATTTTATAATATCCGTGATCAAATTGCCACTACAAACATTATTTTAAAATATGTTTCTACATACATTTTGACCATAATGCAGTTTGCTTTGTTAATTTTAGAAAAAATAATTTTTTATTTTAACCAAAATGCCCTTACATATAGTTTTTTATTTTGCCCCTACATACAGATTGACTATAATGTAGTTTATTGGGTTAAAAATTAGAGGACTTAAAAGTATGGCTAAATTTCCCCACACCGTAGTTTTATTTGATTAGATAATTAATAGTTATAACAGGTATGAACCAAATGCTTGTAACGCCCGTTTATTTAAATATGTTAATAATGTAAGTCTCAGACTATTTTGTGAAGAATTTTGAAAGTCGAGGGTTAAAACTGTACGCTCGGGACTTAAATTGAAAATATTTGAAGGCTTAAGGGTTTATTAGTGATTTAGGGATCTACTATGAAAGATATTTATGAGATTAGGGTTTAAAAAGTAAGTTTGGATTTCGTTTGTAAAGATTTCTGAGGGCAGGGTCTATTTGGTATGTTTTGGATTTAGTTTGAAAACGAATTAGGATGGAGGGGCTGAAGTTGAATAAATTGATCAAATGTTTGAAATGGGACACGAGATATACCCGTATCCCTTCCCCACATCGCATCCTTTAACCCTAAACCTAAACATTTTGTTCCAGTCGCCACTACTCCTTATCTCACTATTCCGATCGGGCAAGGAGGCCACCTACTCCCCCGCCGACAAGCGGCACCACGCCATGCTGCCGAAGAGGCGCTGTATAGATGAGGAACCACCGAGTAACCATTGTGTTATCCCATTGAAGGCGGAAACCTTTCTTAGACGTCGTAGCAGTGACTGATTGGGAGAACCTCATATGTGGCATCGCTAATATCATTCCCGGTGGAGGCTGCCACCCTATCGCGTTTTCTTTTGTTCCGCCGCCGCCATCCCGTTAGCCACTTAGCCATCGGAGAACCCCACTACGCCTCCAGTGGTTGCTGAGGATGAAGTCGGACGTGAGAGATCAGCCGTCCTCCAGTCACGAGCAACCCAGCCACCATTGGAAGCCACAATCACCGCCATGCGTGCGCTGCTGCCCTTTGACAACGACAAGACCACAACCATCCCCTTTGTTCCGGTTGCATCGTCACAAGCTCGTTGTTGCCGGAAGACTTCGTGAATCGTATGGACTGACCACTGCCACCACCGTGAAGTGGTGGCTGTTGTCACAACTAGCATTTTTGCTAGGAAATTCTACTCTCATGCAATCATTCACCTACTGTAACAACTTGTACTATAAGTGAATACTATACTTCATTCTCATTCAAATATAACTTATATGTTCAAATAAGGGTTGGAAACCCTAGAAATCCCGACTCAAGTTCATTATGGACTAGGGTTCTCTTATTGGGCCTAATGGACCGATAAACCTTCAACTTGACTATCTTTGGTCTAGAAACCCTAATTGGGCCCTAATTAGACCCACACTTGTAAAACTTTAACGTTTTGGGCCATGATGTGCCATAAAGGATTTCATTAACCCTAATGGTCCCTAAACCAATTTCTTTTACCATTTTGGGCCGTAAACCGTCCTAAAAGCCCAATGGGCCGAAAACCTACTTAATGGACCCATGGTTTTGAACAAGATCAAGCAATGGCCCAAGATAAGCTATTTATTTCTTTTTTTAAGCCCAAATGCTCGACCCTTGTATATATATATATATATATATATATATATATATATATATATATATATATATAATATATATATATATATATATATATATATAAAAGAAAAAAAAAGAAAGAAAGGAATTAAGGAGAATTAGACACATACTTATTACATTGTGGTATTCCATGCAAGAGATCTCATGCATCAAGAACCATCTCCTCACTCTCTTTCTTCCCTCCCCTCTTTTTCTTCTCGGCCTAAAGCACCAAACACACACACACACACACACACATTCTTTCAAACACCTCCAAATCTCTCAAGAAAATCCCTACTTGCTTCTAAGATTTTCGAGATTTAGAGCAATTTCAAGAAGGTTTCCACCACCAAAAATCCTCATCCTTGGTAAGTCTCTACATATCCAAGTTATATAACTCCTTTCTCATGATATATTACTCATTCTAAACAAGCTTTTGATGCTCATACTCCTTAGAAACTTCTTAAACTCGAAATCCTCATCAAGGTGTTGCTAGGAACCAAAAATCTCTTCATTTCTTCATCAAAATCCGAAATCTTCAAACAAGGTGAGTTCATACCCCCTTGTTTTTGGTTTTTACTTGTTTTTGGGGGAGAATACAAGTTGATTTGTGTAGATCTATGTGTATATGCATGATTATGTGTGATTTCCTTGAAACATTTGGTGATTATGTGTGATTTCTTCACTAATCTACAAATATGTTAAGAAACTTGAAGTGTATCACTAGGATCTTCATATGAAACATGAGAAAAGTATGTATTATCTCAAGTGTTACATGTAAACATGTAGATCTGGGATTTGTATACTTTATATAACAAAAATGAGTGTTGTGTTCAAAGATTTATAAACTAAACTCACAAAACAGCACTTGACAGAAAAGTTTTGGTCCAATCTCGAACTGTTTTGACCATCCAAAGGGAAGTATTTTCCAAAAATGTTTTACATGGTTAAATTTCAGGTTTATACCTTTAAAATGACGACTCGCACGTTTTCATACGATTTTTATACAATTTTTGGCGAATTTTACAAAACTGGCTATCATATTTGAAATAATTTCGGACCAACCTGTGAAGATGAGTAATTTCACACTAGTTTGAGGGCATAAAAAATTATCAGAAAATTTGTGAACAAACTAGACAAAATTTCCAAACTTTCAAAATTTACGGATCCATATTTCGACTTACGATGAATTTTCTACAAATTTTCTAAAAACTAGATCGGAAAAGCCAAAAACCAGAAAAATGTGTATTTTCACAAAAACCAAGCCAAAAATGATATTTTTGACAAAAATGGGTTTAAAATATTATTTTTATCACAAAGTAGTGATCAACACAAGTTTTTAACAAAATTGGAGATTAAAGTGTTATTCTTACAAAAAGTGGGCTTTAATTGTAAATTTTTGGCTTATTGGGCCGCGAACGTCGTTTTTAAAAAAGGTGGGCTTTTTATATCAACTTAGTAAATAATCAAGTTAAAATAAACAAAACAATAACAAACGGGTTAAAAACGATATTTATATCCTTATTGGGCCTGGAAATAATGTACATGTTTAGCGGGCCTTAGTATCCTTTTACATGTATATTGGGTCCAGGATAGACATTCACATTTCTTTTGTGCCTGGAAATAATAGACACGTATAGTGAACCTTAGTGGTCCACTTACATGTTTATTGGGCCTGAGAATGGGTTTTATATGCATTCTTCTTTTTATGCTATTTTAGTGAATACTTGAACGAAAACCAATGATAAACCAACAAATGGATTTAATTTGATCATTTTCTAGGTTATTGGGCCTTAGTGACCCATTCTATGTGTGATAGGTCCTGTATACTATTTACATGTTTATTGGGCCTCATTGACCCATTAACATGTGCGACGGACGTTGGATACTATTTGTGTGCTATTTGGGCCTGTAAATACTTTATATGTGAAATGGGCCTTAGTTGTCCTTTCATATATATTTCGGGCCCATGTTATATAATCTCATTCCATTTGGGTCTCGAAATGATTTACATGTTTAGCGACGCCTTAGTGGTTTACTTACATGGATCATTGGTCCTATAATGAGTTTATACATTTTTCTTCGCGTAAATTCGATTAAGGATCTAGCGAGTTTTTATCGGTTGACACCTATTAAGTGTATGATCGTAGCCTGTAGTTATAACCAGAGTCTCCTGGAGGGAGAACGGGGATTTGTGTATAGATCTATACGGGGTTGACACCCCACACCTCAGTTGTTCGCTACAGTTAGACTTACTCAGTCTAGGGTGACAAAAACCTTATTCTATTTTCCGTCGGCGTCCAACGACGCCAAGACAGGTGAAATTATCATTATTTAGTATGGTTATGACGGCTCGCTTAGAGGAATTAACGTTATGAAGTTTACGGAAGACATCTTCTTTTTTTTAGGCAACGTCGGGTTGTCTGGGAACATTCTCTTTACATGCTCTTACATTCTCTCTACATTCTCTTTACCTTTTTAGTCAAATAAACAATAGCATACATGCATTAATACAAGATCTAACACAAACACACTAAACAGTTTTCAGAAAATATCGGATTTTCTGGTGGTTTTCAAAGTTATACAAATCATTTTCACAAACATGCTTATGAACTCACCAACATTTTTATGTTGACCGTTTTCAAAATAACTTGTATTCTCAGGATACCGTTGAAGCAGGATGAACGAAACAAACTAATGGATATTGTGTGATATTTTGTTTCATCATACTCTTACTATTTTGGCATGTAATATTCAAATACAATACTCGATGTAAACAATGAATATTGTAATATTACATGTGTGATGATGATGATGTTATGTTTCAATTATATTCACTGTAATGATATTTCAAGATGAAGTCACGCGCAAGCCCCCGGACGTTTCCACCGTCTGGTTCGGGGGGTGTGACAACTGCCATTGCAGTGTGCCATAAGGTGGGTCGCTAGGGTTGTTTTGTAATCAGTTAGGGCGTATGAGTGTTATTTTTGTGATGTATGATTGGGTTTGTTTGGCCGAAGAATCAGGAAAAGCCATTGCCACCACGAGCCATCAATAGCCACCATGGTGTGGCTGTGTGTGTGTGTATTAGTTAGTGTATGTATTTTGGATAAAACCCTTGTAATTGTAATTAGCATGGAATAATGAAAATAATAATAGTAACCACCACCGTAAGGTGGTGGCCGCCATCGCGATCCGCCATTGACCACCACTACCCGAGGCAGTAGTGGGTGGTGCCCCACAAGCAAAACCTAATGGACCTAGCAAGACCTAAATGGACTTAAAGACTTATTTGGGCCTATTGGGCCATGTTTGAGTGAAAACCCCTAATTGTAAGTATTTGGGCCTTGGACTTATTGGACCCACTTTTGGGCCATTGAGATTGGATTTGTGTATTAAGCCCAATTTCTCCATATCAATTATCTAGTAGAGTAAAGGACTTAATGGATTAAGTCCTTAATGGGCTAAGTGAGAAAACCCTAATATTCACTTGGGCTTTGTGTTGGGCCATCCAAGAATAATCAAATGGAGTAGAGTAATTAGTTGGGCTTTAGGGTAAGGACTATATGAAGGATTGGGCCTAATTTGGAAAATTGGGCCATATATGGGCCATAGTTTGGGCCTAGATGGTTGTATGATATTGGGCCCTTTGAATGAGACATGTTGGACTGGACTGAACAATTGGGCCTTAAGGGAAGTCCATGTAGATGTTTGGGCCCAATTTGGAAAATTGGGCCATAGTTGGGCCTTGGTCCATTACTAGACTTCTGGGCCTTGGGCTTCAGTCAAGCTAAGATCGAGGTAAAGTAGTCTTTTACCCAAGTATGGACTTATGGTTATGAGTTGGAACCCAATTATTAACTGGGTGTTTTTTTGATATTGATAGATCGGGAATCTGTCATCGAGCAGCTATGGTTCTGTCAGCGGGACTTCAGCAGTGTGAGGTAAGTTTCCTTCCAGTAGGAACGGGTCTATGGCCACAATGCCGACCCATTTAGATAGCAGGAGTTCAGTGTGCTTGATGTCTTTGTGATTTAGGTATGTATATGTGTTGTGTGTTCCGGGCTGCGGTCCGATGCAATATGCAGTATATGTGTTATTGTTATATGTTATGATTATGTTATGCTATGTTCAGTCAGTTCCGAACTTCGGTCCGATGTAGTGGGCGAGGCCCTAGTCAGTTCGGGACTTCGGTCCGATGCAGTGGGGGAGGCCCTAGTCAGTTCGGGACTTCGGTCTGATGCGGTGGGCGAGGCCCTAGTCAGTTCCGGACTTCGGTTCGATACAGTGGGCAAGTCCCTAGTCCATTCCGGACTTCGGTCCGATGCAGTGGGCAAGGCCCTAGTCAGTTCCAGACTTTGGTCCGATGTAGTGGGCAAGGCCCTAGTGAGTTCTGAACTTCGGTCCGATGCAGTGGACAAGGCCCCCTAGTTAGTTCCAGACTTCGGTCCAATGCAGTGGGCGAGACCCTAGTTAGTTCCGGACTTCGGTCCGATGCAGTGGGCGAGACCCTAGTTAGTTCCGGACTTCGGT